ACTCGCAACATATTAATAATTAAAAGTAGTTAATGAACTAAATTTATTTAATTATTATTTAAATGTAATAATTAATTAAATAATATAATATTACCGAGATAGCTGACGAAGCATATTGTTATTATTATTGTTTTTTCGTAAGATATTTATGTTCCAGCTTCAAATAATCAAACGAAATTATGAACAAACAACAAATCAAACATAATTAAGGCTAAAAAAAATTATAAAATTATTACAAATATTTTAATTTTTTCTCAGCGATGGTTGTCACCCTGTAATTAAATATATCATCTTTTAGGCGACAATTATGCAAGCCTGGACATTAACGAGTAAATAAGTTAAAAGTTAAGTTAATTTAACTTGTTTACTTAACTTATTAGATTACTGATAAATTAACACAACTCATTTCCTTACAAATTAACTTGAAATCAACGTATTATTTTCTCATTTATTCCAATAAAGTTAATTTTGATTTTGATTGAACCAGAAAAATATTTTTGTAAAATAACGTACTTGATAACAATATCATGGAATTTAGAAAAAAATAAAAATTTCGAAGAATTTTAGATGAGACCATAATTTTTATGACGGCATTAACTATTAATAGAAGTCCCGCCAGTCTCGGGAAAAGTACTCAACCATCTTAGGCTTATCTTAGGCAATAATCTAAGAATATTGAGTAAAAAAAGCCATGGAACTCATGATTTACATTAACATTGTCATGAAAAATCTATATTACGAAAATAGGTTAGGGTATTATAGTATTATATTTATCGGCAATATATTACACCTTTAAGGCCCTCCTCACACGGGGATACTCAAAAGAAATTGCAATCATCTAAGTACTAGGAAACTGGGTGACTAGTCAACTACAGTTGCCGGTTATCTTCACACACAGTATACTAAATTTTTGTTTCTAGTTTTTTAAACTAGTGTCGCCCTACTATTTCGACAGTACAGTTCAGTTTAACATTTATGCAACTATAAAGAAATATGCAAAAATACGCAAAAACAATTAACCATATAATCTATACATTATGAAATGTCGACATTTATAATCAAAATTATTATTCTAGGTGAATTGTAGAAGAATATGCATTTGTATATAAATAAGTCCGGGCCCCTTATTATAATAATACATTAAAATATATAAACAAATTATAATTAATTAATAATTATTAATAATAAATTCTTTATAGCCATGTACTCAGAACCAATTATTATTATATTATTTTATTATACATATTGTGTATATGTGATAATACTCGAATATTCTCGGCCTTACCTGTGAGCTTAATTTCTGAGGCTTCTTCACTCCAAGCTTTTTCCGTTATATTTCTTTTGGAGTAGCTTTTTAAGGTATAATTATATAGCTCGGGATACTTTTCTATTTGTTGCACATATTTTATATTAAAATTTTTACCCATGTTACATTATTTTATTATGCATGAAATAAAAATTACCAAACAACTCGATCAACCAAAGTAGCGAGGAGACCGGCATGTCTAGTCGCGTCAGTTTATCAGTCGCGGCGACTTTAGTAGCGCCGTCTGAATGACGCCATTCAAACACACATGAGCAGTTGCCTAGTCGCCTAGTACCTAAGCGATTGCAGTTTCTTTTGAATATCCCCGTGTGAGGAGGGCCTAAGTGTATACCGTGATGGGCGAGACTACCGTCGCTAGCTATACAACATCAGAATCATTTTTAACAATTTTCGCACTAGATACAACGTTTGGGCATACCTACTGTACATTTAACAGATATCCTCAACAATTATATACTTCTAAATTCAATGATCGGCGCCTAAATGGTCATAATGAGCTATTAATACAATTTAAATGATGATACATTTAAAAGGATGCCACACCCGCATGTGTCGTCTCCGTCTGACATACGTAGAACATAGCAAATTTGTGTTCAATGATTCAAATATAGTGATGTTAGCTTTAATATTAGAGTAAACTGACTTATAATCAAACTTTAAGGGAAGAACATTATCTGTGTTGTATTGGTCGGTTTTTTCGATATTTTAATTTTTTAGCGTGTTACATGTATGTAAAATATAACATTTAAAAAAACATCATAACTAGCTAAAAAATTTGAATATCGGAAAAAACCGATCAAAAAAAAAAAAACACTGATAATGTTCTTCCCTTAAAGTTTGATTATAAGTCAGTTTAATCTAATATTAAAGCTAACATCACTGTATTTGAACCACTGAACGCAAATTTGCTATGTTGTACGTATGTCAGACGGAGACAACACATGCGGGTGTGACGTCCTTTTAATTTAAATTATATCGTAACAGTTAGGTGTATACAAATCTTAGACCCATTTTTAGCATATATAAATACATGAATTGCCCACAAAATTACATTTTTCCCAAACAATATTTTTGAAATTTGATATCGGTTTTATATATTTCCTACCACCGAAAACATACTTATAGGCAGTGACGGTGCTAGAGTTTGCGAGGCCCTGGACAAAATAAATGTTGGTTCTTATAATTTATATTAATAAAATATCTTAAGTTCAGTTAAATCAGAACCGCGGGGCCCTGGGTAACTGCCCCTATTACCCACCCCCTTGCACCGTCCCTGCTTATAGGCACTTATGCCGATGACACTGCTATTCTAGCCTCAGACTCCGAACCACTTATCTGCACTCGCCTTCTTCAAAACCATCTCAACATGCTATCAAAATGGTGCAATACTTGGAAAATTAAAGTTAACTAACTTAAATCTACACACATTACTTTCACCCTCAGACCAAGGACTGTCCCGAAGTTTCCTTTAACAATTCAGTAATCCCCTACTCAAGGGAAGCTAAATACCTGGACCTACTACTCGACAGAAAACTCAACTGGGGCCCCCATCTCAAAAGTAAACAACTTATCTCTCGCCAACGCATTATCAGATTCTTCCTCAAATCTAATATGAGCTTGTCATATCGTTTACTTTTATACAAGTCTTCTCCAACCAATATGGTCATACAGAATTGCCTCTTGGGGTACTGCTAAACTCTCAAATCTCAGAACAATTCAAGCATTCCAATTAAATAGCCTCCGCATACTCACCAAAGCCCATTGGTTTGTCACAAATGCCACTCTACATGAAGACCTTAAAATTCCATCCATTGACCAGACAGCAGCCATTTACTACCAGACTCCACTCCAAAATACAAAACCACCCAAACCATCTTATAGCTCAACTGCAGTCAGTCTCTTCCAGGCAACCCTGCTCGGTGCCTAAACCGAAAATAGTTCAGAAACCTTCTCAAGAGTTAAACATTAATTTAAGACCCACTTAAAGGTAGCTTTAATGTGAGCCTCCCTTATTTAAAAAAAAAATGTTTTATATATACAGTGTATATTATACACATATAACACACAACAGATGTATATTTAATACAAAACACGAGACTTAATGCATTCATAATTAACAAATTTATTCTGCAAGCAGATAAAAGAAATCGGATTTGGTACGAATTTCAAATTTCAAATTGTTTATTGCATATTTTATAGGAAGTTATTAAACAATTACTTTCAATACAATTTCTTTAAGGTCTTCTAACTTTTACAGGTTTACTGGAAAGTGAATGATTTTGTCTGCCATTATGTCAGTTATTATTTTAATTCATTTTTAAAAGAAATATTTATTAAACTGATAGAATTAAACTTTGAATAAATAAGTTTAAAAATTATTTAAAAAAATTTATTTAAATAATTGCATAAAATATATATTTAAATAATAAATATCACCTTTAAATTTCATAATGCACACAAAAAGAACTATTTAACTGATTAATTATTTGTGTGTATTATCATTTCCAGATTTTTTTGAATGATTTTTGATAAACAGAATTAAATTAATTGTATTTGTATATAAAAGAACAATTTAATGTTAAATATATGATTAGTTTCCACTAATTTTAGAATATTTTTATAAATAACATATATTTTTTTAATAAATAATAGAAATTACAATTAAGTCAAAACAACTTTTAAGAATATATATTATCAGATCATTCCTAGAAAATTAACAATTATAAAACTTTTCAATTAAAAATAATTTGACTATTAAAAATTGTAAATGCTCATGTTATTTTGCAGAAAAATAAATGCACAAAAAATTACTATTTAAGAATAATTAAAAATATTTTTTAAACATTTATATCACTCAAACTTATTAAGATTAAATACTTATCTTAGCTTCATCAATAAGGCGTTTGTGTATAGTGTAAATGGTATAATGTAAATGCATTCAACAATTAACATTTTCTATTTTGAAATTTAGTTTGCTTCTATGTTGATTATCACAATACAAATTATGTAATATTTTAAATAAAATATGTACCAATTGTATATTTACATAAAAAGTACAGTAACTATGAAAATATTAAAAAGGTTCACTCAATAAGAAACAACAAAAATCAAATCAGTTAATTACTTTATTGAGTGATTGATATAAATACATTACAATCATATTAATATAATACTTTTATTTTTAAAAATTTAACAAATTGTTGTCAGTAAATTAAATGCAGAAAACAGTATATATTATACTAAAACTAAAATAATAAACAATTAAAAATTTACTGAAATTTAATTCATTAAGAAGTTTATCTTAATTGGAAGGATAGATTTAACATGATAATAATAATTTTTACATCATTAAAAAAAAAGTACAAACATTTTATAACAAACAAATAATGATTGATACTAGTGAAAAATTTAATAAATCTCTAACAATGTATTGGAAATTATAATTGAATAAGAAATAAAACATTCATCCATTGATTTATAATGAATTTAATAAATTAATGGAATTCATTTAGAATAATAATGTGTGGATAGTAAAAATGTACATATCATAATACTAAATGTTACAAACAAAATTTAATAAATATAAATAATTAATAATTATCCCAATTATCTGAAAGAAAAAAAAATATTTATAATAAATAAATGCAAAATATAATGAGTAATATGTTTAGACCTAAAATAATTGAATAAAATAAAATATACCTGTCATAGAATTGTTCAAACATTTTAGGTTTTTTCTAACAAAATTATCATCATGTTTTTTATGATTATTTTCTGCTGAATGTGATGTAGAATTATTCATACCATGTCTTTTTTTATCTTGTTTACTTCTATTCATAGTTTTTTGTATCGATCCTCCTTTATTCATTTCAATGGCAGTATTGACAGTATTTTTATAATGTTGAAATTTTTGTGTGTTGCTATTTTTAGTATCACCACATACCCAGATTTCTGCATTGGCCTGACTAAAAACTGACATTAACAATATTAAAGTACGACTCGTGATATTGTTCAGATTTAATGAAGATGTTGGTTCTAGTTGGATCCCCAAAAATCTGTAACCAGTCATTTCCGATTTTATTGCATTAAATGCTTTATTAAGACATTTAAAATATGAAGGGTTTTCATTTTCAGACTTGATAAATATACAAAACAAAATTTCAATGCCAATTTTATATGACCACACATCACCAGGAGCCATTGGTTTAATGTTAATATCATTTAAAAATCTGTAAAGATCAAAAAAATAATTTTTATGTAGAAATTATAATAGTTGATATCTTAATTTTAATCATATAAAATATTTATAATTGGAGAAATAAGATGAGTAACATTATGAAATTATGTTTTAAAATCAATAAAATGTATGTAATTAATTATCGAGTAGGCACTTAGAAAAGAAATTGATTTTTGATTCAACTTTTATTTGATCTAGTGTTAAAAAAAAGCTATACACATTTTCATAAAAATTAAAATTTTAATTCTCTTAATTACTCATCATATATTTTTACACAATAATTAGATTTTAAATTACCTGTCTTTAAATTGATATCTAGCATTGATATTTTCAACAACTTCATCATTCCAGTTATCCAAATACATTTTTCCCATATCTATAAACATTAATATATCAGTTTGAGGCTCCATTTCCCATAAGTTTTTTGAAGTGTACATTACTTTTGATGGAATTGGTCGTAATGTATTTAAATTCTAAAAATAATAATAAACATAAAAATATACTTAGAAAATAATGATTCGAAGTTGTGCTAATTTAATAACAATACAAAAATGTATAATTTTTAAATATCTAAAATATGACTTGTGAAGTATTTTAATGGTAAAATATTAATTTAAAGGGGAAATATTACTTTTATATAAATAATTTAGTTTTAAAAATGGGTACATAAGAGAAAAAAATTAGTGTATAACTTATATTCCTTGAAATAATAATAATTAAAACTCACCGATTGTGCTGTACATATAATTATTTCAATATTAAATCCAGAAAATACTTTTGAAATAGTATTTTTTACATCTGATAAACAATAATAGAATAGTCCATTTCCATATAATGGAATTGCTAATTTTGTCAGGCCAAGCTTTTTCATCTTTATTAGTAGATTTTTTAATGCTTTTTCTAATGAATGCATATTTGATGTTTTATTGGTAACAATCTTTTTATTGGTAATTAAATAAAAAATATACTGATTGCCATGTAAAATTTCACCAACATCACCAACAATTAAATGTTGATCCAATAATTCATCAATACCACCAAATTTGGTTCTGAAAAATTAATTTTTTTAATATAACTTTAAAATGAACTAGAATGATTAAACCATACCTAAAATCGATAAAAGCAGGAGATGGAGTAAAATGATCATTAACGCAGAGAGCTAAGGAATATTCAGGATCCAAACTAAATATATCTTTATCGACTTCACTCAAATTTGATCTAAAAATAATAAAAGGCTTTTTACTGTAATTGTTTTCCAAAATATGTATTGTTTTACAAAAGATACTATTCTCAAATTAGTGATTAAAAATAATAAATTTGGGAATAGTAATCACTGATTATAATCAATACAATCTGACTTACAATTCATATTTATTCATTGAGTTCCTACTTTCATGGCTATTGTAATTTTGATTGATGTATTTATGATTATTTGTGTTTTTGAATGATGTGCCTTTACAATAATTATCATAAGCTTCTTCAGAACTTTTAGTTTCTTGGATTTCTAATTTCACTGGTATTTCTTTTTTTTTACTTACATTATCTGAAGTATTTACAGAAATGATTTCATTTGTCTGATATTGATTTCTATTATTGATTGTTGGTGATTTAGGTATTTTAGACATTCTAAATTAAAAGGATAGATTCAAGTGATTAATAAGACAAAATACAATAAAATAATATTTTAATTTTAACAGTGTATTGAAATATTATAATTTTAAAAATACCATAGGTAAAATATATCCATTTAAATTTAAGAGGATGTCAGCGCAGCTATATTTCGGTATAAAAACATTTTTTGGAAAAATAGGTTTTATTCCGAAAGTATTATACAAACTAAAGGTAACAACATTATCTAGGGAATGACATATCCATTTGACTTTTTATAATTTTTTAATAGAAATACGATCTCTTTAAGTTGTCGAAAATTGTAATTTTTTTAATCTTAAATAACTACCGTTTCGGTTGTTTAATCTACAAATGTATGTCATGCCCTAGATAATATTGTATTCTTTAATTTTGATAATTTTATATTCTTCTCTAAAAACACTCTAAACCTTTATATTAGCTATTTTTCATAGACACGTTTTTTTGTCGATTTTAATTTTTCATTCGTAATGTGCTGCCGCCTACGGACGGCGGCGGTGACGTCGACGGTTACTTCTCCCACCCCCTATCTGGGGAATCTGTGCCAAAACTCACATAAATAAAATTCAAGTCTTCCAATCCAAGTTTTTACACATAATATCCAACGCGCCGTGGTTCGTCAGAAACGAAGCACTTCATACAGACTTCAGACTCCCGATGGTTAAATCCTACATACAGAATCTCTCAGTCAATTTTTTTGGCCAACTTAACAACGCCAAAAGTGCAAAGTATTTCAAACTCAGCGATAAGCCTACCCTCCGGCGTCTCAAGCGCGGCCGTCCTCATGATGCCCTTTCTCAACACCAATAATACATAAAAAAAAAAAAAATAAAAAAAAACACCTAGTTTAACTATTAATTATTATATCATATTTGTAACTTGTTTATTCATCTATGTAAATTACTGTATTTTTTGTATTTATAATTTACTTATAACAATTATTGCATGTTAAAAATGTCTTTATAACAATAAGTTAGATGACTTTGATATCGGTAACACTTTATTAATAAATAAATAAAAAAAAAAACTTCTCCCACCACTACGACAAACGGCGGATTTGGTCGCGTCTAGCACGATCTGTTTTTAACTATTCGGCGATTAGTTTTTTCCAGTAATAATAATAATTATTATTGTAGATGTCGAGCTAAATGGTATCTTACCGAAACCTAATAAAAATAAATATTATTGTGATGTTTCCAGTCTAACTAGTAAAGAATAATATTATAAATATTTAAACGTATATATACTGTATATATAATATTTATGAAGTACAATACATATAATATTTTAAATTTCTAATAATTGTACCTCATCCAAAATTAAAACTCGTCATTTATCGTTTGTCCATTCGATGAGAAACACGAGAGCTTAATTTTTAACTATGGCGAATAAAAAATAGATGGTAAAGCGTACTATCAGAAAAAAAATTACTAGGTCTTTAGTTAAAAATCGGTGGTTTGCGAAGAAAGGTAACCTATTGATTTTTTTTATAAAATGTTTGTATAGTTAAATAATTTCTACAATTGTGTTATTGTAATATGTATTTGTAATAATAAAATCATAAGAAATCAATTTTTCTATAAATTTATGTTTTTTTTTTTCGTTTCAGATTATTGTGAAAAAATAACATGCAACCGATGTGTCCCAATAAAATGGAATCGACTGTACTTTAGAATTTAAATTTACTTGATGAAATTTAATGTAAATTCCTAATACCTATAATATAGTTAACTAGCATCTATAAAAATATTATACCCAAAACCTAAAGCAGTGAAAGCATCTTTATTATGAAGTACCTTTATTGGAAGATTTTTCTATTAAACTTTATTTTAAATATATGTAAATATATAATATATATAATATTCTAGTCATATTCAGTGTGTAATTTTTATAATGTTAGTGTTATTATTGGATTCTATTGATTCTATTGGCATTGTAATTACTTATTTAGTAACGTTTAACGTATCTTAAAGTAAAGTGAAAAGCGAGCGCACAGCGTGCTTACAAATTAAAGCCGGATATAAATACGCAACGAAACGTTTGATATCACTATTCGTGGAGTAATAATGTGTCTCTCCCAAAACTACGGCAGACAGAACGTCACGGTCGACGATAATAGACGTGATTACGGTCTGCCACGGCGCGCAACGCCATCTCTGAAGCATTGCGTACGTTTTATTTTGCGCTGACATCCTCTTAACAGCATTTGAAACCATTTAATACTATTTTTATTTTTATTTTTTTTATTAGCTTTTAATGTACAACTATGATAGCTCACTCATTTGATACTATATTATAGGATAAAAATAAAATCAAACTAAAAATTGATTATATTATTGTAACATATGTACTTATAGGGACTATGAAAAAACTTACAGTAAGAAATTCCATTAAAATTGATTTGAAAGTTAAGAAAATATTATGAAGAATAATCCAAATAGTTTATTCTAAAATATAAAGTTATAAATTCTTACCTATCTAATTCTCTGTTTAATTTCCCATCAATTATCAATTGTTTATCTTTTATTTCATTTTCTTTTAAGGTGCTCACTATAATATTCATTGTTCGATGTGGAAATCTACTTCTATTTTCAACTTTAATAGGGTCGGTAGTAATAATTCTAGAAAATGAGTGCATATTTGTAGTAATAATATAGTTATAACTACAATATCACATAATTAAATTTCAATATTTATTTAATAATTGAAGGAAAATAAAAATAATCAATTATACCTGAGAAATATCAATTAAATAATTTTTAATCGTGATAATATTGTATTGATATCTATAAAATTAATATTTTTATATATTATATAGTTGGTAAATCGTAACATTTTGTTAATAGAGCAAGGAAATAAAATATATGTATAATAAATATAGATAAAATCATTAATAAATTGCAATGCTACTTATATTAAACAGATGTATTTTTTTTTTTTAATTTGTTAACCAATATTTAAAAACTACATGAATTATTAAGAAAAGTTTAAACTAATTATGTGTTATTGCCAAATAATAGGCTCATATTGTATGAGTTAGGAATTTTAAACTAAACTGTTCTAGGTACTTATTCGTAAACTTTAAAATACGCAAAAAAAAACTATAATGAATCATGTAGTTATAGAATATTCTGTTAATTTTTCTTTCTATAACTTAGTAAAAACTAACAAGATAGATAGAATCTCTAATAGAAACCTACATCACATTAATAAATCTCTTTTGATACTTCCAAGAACATCTATATAATTAATTATAAGTACAATATAAATTATAATTTGTTAACACTCACCCACTATCGATTTTTACTGTAATCGTTTCAGAAATAGATCTACAAAAATAAGATAAGAAAAAAAATGGATACATTATTTATTTATTTATTTTTTTGTTAAATTGTTAAAGTTAGTTTCATTTTAATGATTTATTTTGAACAGTTTCATTGTTTTCATTTGCGATAAAACAAATAAAGATTACTAATACACGGAATAAGAGCTAACTTTTCAATTATTGTTTCTTTGTGAACTTGAGAATTTTGACTAGAAAAAAAAATGTATTGTTTTATTACACTATATATTGGTCATTTTTGACATTCCTAATAATCAATATAAATTCTTTTATATTTTTAGTTTTTTCTATTTTAGTAAAAAAAAGTTAGTGTATCTTAATTGTGAAAGAGAACACTATATGACAATATAGTGTATAATATTAGTTTAATGAAAATTTACTTAGTATGAAATATGTTATGTCTATATTATATTAAGATTTAAGTATCATATACATCATAAATAATCACAAATGATTTGTTATAATATAATATTTAAATGTTAAGTTCAAAGTGAAATTATTTGTTTTTAAAATCTGTAGTAATATTATTTTCTATTTGTAATTAATTTGCATTATTGTATTTAGAAGACAAATGTTTTTTTTTTTTTTTTTTTTAAAACCATAATTTATCAAAGAAATAATTGAAAAGCTTATATAGTGTAGTATAAATACATTTTGATTAATATCAGAACAAAAATGATTAGAATTTGGTTTAAGAA